CTGCTGGAAAATTAACAAGCATTTCTTTAAGTTTCTAACATACACAGAACTGTTCTGATACAGTGCTAATGTGAGTTCCCCACCCTATTACATTGTACTGCAAATTTCTAAAGGATCCTACTAAAGTGAAGGAGGTTAGTGAGGTACTATGCTTTTTTCATCATTACTGAAATTCCCATATGTGTATTCTTTATAAATTGATGAAATAGAGGCTGCTGGTTGCCCCACTTCCCCAGGCTGCAGTTCTGTTTTATTTTTTATTTTTATTTTTTTTCTTCCTTAAGACAAAGTCTTGCTCTGTCGCCCAGGCTGGAGTACAATGGCATGAGCTCGGCTCACCTCAACCACTGCCTCCCAAGTTCGAGCAATTCTCCTGCCTCAGCCTCCTCAGTAGCTGGGATTATAGGCACACACCACCATGCACAGCTAATTTTTGTATTTTTAGTAGAGATAGGGTTTCACCATATTGGCCAGGCTGGTCTCGAATTCCTGACCTCATGATCCACCCGCCTCGGCCTCCCAAAGTGCTGGGATTACAGGCATGAGCCACCACGCCCAGCCTCTTCTTTCTTTAGAACAGAACACTGATTTTGAACTGGGCACACTGCTGGTAATAAATTATGTTTCCTACTTTCCTTTGAAGTATGGTTTGGTCATGTGATTAAATTCTTATCAATGAGATGCAAGAGAGAGAAATAGGGTTGAAAAGAGCTTCCAGGAAGGTTGTCTAAAAAGAGTCAACCCAGTTAAGAAGACCTTTTTCTGTCACTTTTCTTTTGCCTGCAATGACTGACACTCCTGAAGCCATCTCGATCTATGAGGATGTAAACCCTCCATTCACATGGTGTTGAAGAAGGAAAGGGTCCTGAGACCCCAGTGATACCGGAGAACTGCCATTCCAGCCGTGGCCAGCCTTAAGCTTCTTTTATGTGAGAAAGAAAAAACTTCTGTCTTGTTGAAGATACTCCCATTTGTTTCCGAAAACAGTCTATTTAAGGCCGGGTGTGGTGGCTCACTCCTGTAATCTCAGCACTTTGGGAGGCCAAGGCAAGTAGATTACTTGGTCTCAGGAGTTTGAGACCAGCCTGGGCAACAGGGCAAAACCCCGTCTCTACTATATAAACAAAAATTAGCCAGGTGTGGTGGTACACGCCTGTAATCCCAGCTACTTGGGTGGCTGAGGCAGGAGAATCGCTTGAACCCAGGAGGCAGAGGCTGCAGTGAGCCAAGATCGCACCACTGCACTCCCACTTGGGCAACAGTGTGAGACCTTGTCTCAGGAAACAAAACAAAATGAAACAAAACATTTGTTTGAAAACGAAATGTTAATTACCAAAAATGTAAAATCAGTATTACAATGAACAAATAGATAATTATGAAAATAGATTAAATTTAGCTATGCATCCTTGCCTATCTATAATGTATCGATCAGCTAAGGATAGAAGCTTTAAAGAGATACTAGCCCTTAAAAGAGATGAACTTCTCTTCAATCAAGTCTTGCTGGAGAACTTAAATAAATGTAAGTTTCGTCATTCAAGTATATTTAACCTCATTTCTACGTTAACACCTAAAATCATTTACATATCAACTGTGGTGAGTTTTGGGAAACACTTATCTATGGAGAGAACTACAAGGAAATGATAATATGTGGCTTTTGTTACATATTTATCTAAGTTAACATAGGAGTATAGTGAGCAAGATTCTGAAAATGCAAAATGCAATTTGATGGACATAGCACAATTGGTTATCCTGCAGGCAATGCTTAGTCAAAACAGATCTGATAGCTGTGATAGCATTCATAAATTCATATTGTTATGATCACATTCTCAGCAACCTAACTTCTTCAAACAGGGAAGGATGCATTTCAACTTAGATAAGAGATCTTTCCTCACTCCTGGTGAGTTCACCACTAGCTCAAAAGTGTCTCCTTAATCCATAAAATTAAACCTGTCACAGTGACTTAACTTCATTAACGCAACTTCTTGATCCATGGCAAATTATTAGCAATACCAAATCTATGACTCTCAAGCTAATTAAGACTGCTTCTTTTGCATTATGATGATCAGATTCTGACTTTTAAGAATAACTGGAAAACATTCAAAGAAGGTAGGAGGAAATTATAAAGCAAAACAGCTTCTGAAGCAAAACCTACTAATATTATTAAAATGTCTACTCTATAATACATTTTCCAATTATCCTTAAGAAAAACACATCTCGTCGCAGTCCAACACTATCTGTAATCATGGAGCATGATTTTTCTTTAATTCTCCAAAGGCAGAAAGAAGTAAAATGAACAGTTTTAAAGCTAGGATAAAAGTTGAATATAGGAATGAATACATCATATTTTTAAAATCTCTATTTTAGTCGCAGATGTCTTATGAAATAGGTAATACATGCACACAGCAAAAAAAAAAAAAAAAAAAAAAATCAAACAGTTCAAGTGGTTCACTGTAAAAAATAATTTACGTTCAGCCTTTTCCCCCAGCTTCCCAGTTGTCTTTGTAGAAATCACAGTTGCCAGTCCTTTGTGTAGACTTCTTGGGACATAGTCTGCTCACAAAAGTACCCTTCTCTGTACCCAAATGCTGCCTCACTATACATGCAGCTATGCACCTTACCTTTTGAACAAGTATACAGAAAACCACTAAATATGTGTGCATACAGATTTGTATCATAATACATATATACTAGAGATATGGTCTAATTCTAGAACAAATTATCAAATTGAACAAATATTTATAGACAGCCCACTGTGTGCCAGACACTACTGTATGGGCTGGAGCATAGCTGGAAAAAGACCTGCTCCCAAAGCTACAAGACTTCCATTCTAGAGCTTCCTCATTAAGCAGAGCCTTCCTAGCTGCCGTGTAAAATCCCTACATCAACACATATGTCTATCAACAAAAACCTGTAAAATGTACATCTATATACATGCATGCATTTGCATATCTGTATCACATATATATGTTCTATATGCTCATATGCTGTATGCATGTACACACATATAACATATTGTGCATGTGTGTATCTGTACGTGTATAAGCTTTTTCCATCATCCAGACCCATAGTATGAGGAAACATATCCTGGCCTCCAGAAGACAAGAAGAAAAAAGATAAAAAAGGAAACAGAAAACTGGCATCAGAATCCACCAAGAGATAAGGAATGGTCTTCATTTAGAATGAAGAATTAGGGCTTTTAAAAGAAGAGCTTTATATTCTATTCAGGGTACTTGTTTCTTAAAGAAGATACTGACACAGATGAAAAAAAAAATGGCAAACACCATGCATTTCTGCATTTGGATGTGCTCTGAATGTGCTGAGATTCTGGAAGCCCCCGGAAATATAAAAAGGCAGCTGACATTTCAATGGGAAGGAGGTACCACTGGGTCACCCATGCTCTCTCTCTGTGTCCAAGATGAACTGAACTATTTGTCAGAAATTAACAATAAAAAAGGCATAAATATTTTCTAATGGTTCAACGCCCTCAGCCTCTCATAGACAAGACTAACTACTGCTTCTACTAATACATAAAAATAGATGGCAAAAGAAATCACAAGAGAAAATAAAAGTTCATTGGTTGAGATTCTTTCCCCTAAATTTATTCTTTTCTTCTGATAAAGAATAAACACATCTATTCATCCACCCTCTCATCCATTCACCTGTTCATCCATCCATTTGCCCATCCATCTATCCATTCATCCATCCATCTACCCATCTGTCCACCCATGTGTCCATCTATGCCAATTTTTGCTAAGTACAAAACACAAAAGAAATCTTTTATTGAGATAGCACCTTATTTCCAAATTATATTACTGGCACAGACGTGTTTCAATGTGTGTATCTGTAAGTTCATCCAGGTCACCAGTTTGGCACACTATCACTACAGAAACATATCACTACATAAATATCTAGGACTGAACTCATATACAGATTTTCTCTTTTCCCCCTTATTTGCTGTACAAGCAAATCTCCAAGAATAAAAAGGAAAGGCCCAAACGAGAGCTGCTGATAATCCAAAATCCTAAAAACCAACGCTGAGCAAAGAAGCACAGAAAGGAATCCAGATCAAATCATCCCCACATTGGTCTCAAATGCTCCTTGGTAATAAGCCAAAAAAAATCATAATAGTTGTCAGCTCAGATTCATGAGCTCCCTGCTAGAATAAATAATAAAAAATAAGGATATTTTCCAAACACTGAGCTATGAAGTTTAAAAATGCACTCCAGAAATAATGCCTGGCATACCGGAATTCTTCCTTTCGTTATTGTTGAAATTTTCAATAGTATCATGAGCATAAAGCAACATACAGGTGACAAAAATATGTGACCAGACTAGGAAATCCCCTGAGCCACACATGAGATTTCAGGAAAGTGCAATTAAACAAGAACGACTGAGTTTCAAGCCTCCCTTTGCCCAGCTGTGAATTGGTTGTTTCTAATTTGGTGGCTATCAGAGACAGATTCAGGTTTTAATTTCTCCCTAGAGTAATCCACAATTCCCTGCAATTCTACTGCAGATAGTTCACTGTACCATCAGAAAATGCCTGCCCATGGATACCATCACATGCATTATATTTAAATATACACTGCAAACGTGGAATGCACTCATGTGAAGAGAGACGTATAGGCTCTGGTTTCTAACACTTGCAAAATGGGCCATTTTATGAGACATGCAGAGTTTCAGTTCATCTAATAACATGGACTAGAAAGAGGTCATGTTGAAGAGGAACATGGTTTGTGGGTCAATTCCATCTGCAGGGTACAGTCCTTGCAGGTGACACGGTGCTCTGCCGGGGTGTTAAGTAGGTCCGCTGTGAATAATAGCCCATCTTTCCCAAATGAAGGCTTCCATTCATCTTACCTGGAGGCCCTGATAGAATAGATGACACACGCCAAATGCAAACCACAGTGGAAATGGTTGTTAGCAATCCAGGAAAAAAAAAAAAAATGAGGCCACATTTGCAGCTGATCTGAATATATTGGAGGCCAGCTGGGACTCACCTGTTTTCCGAGCCAGCCGATTTCTTCTGACAAACGATGACAGCTGGTGCATACTTTCCAGTATAATCCGTGCGCTCCCTGACATCCCAAATGGAAGGGCTGCTGGCTCGCACGCCGATGATGTTCACGCCTTTCTTCACCTTTGCCCTGTTGGAGACAGCACGTGTGGGTCTGAGTCAGCTCTGGGGAATCCCCGGGTCATGCTGGTTCTGGGAACACGGGGAGCTTAATTGCTCACCGTTGCCTTGCAGGTGTAAGCTCATGTATACTAGGATTTAAACACAAATTTGCAGTCGCCTTCCAATCCATCTCTCCTAATTTCTTTCAGCTTTTCCTGCCTTTAATAAAGAGCTAGAGATGGTATATGGATAGCCAGCAAACATTAGTTACAGAAAGAAACAGAATATCGTTGCACTAGCCTGTGTCTTTAAATAAAGCCAAAGCCAGACACAAGCACAAAACTACCTGAAACCCCTTAGCCTGGCCAAACTCAATAGAAAAAGGCAACTAAAGTGCAAAAGTAAAGATTGAAATAAGAACACACATTCACTGAATGTCTCCCAGTGCCAGGCACTGATGGACATTTTGTCCCTATTACCTACTCTTCCTAGCAAGGTTCCAAGCCCAAAATGAGGCTGAGGTTCAGATAGGCGAGGGAATAATGATTCCCTCAAGTGATCCACCTGCCTCAGCCTCCCAAAGTGGGAGCTACTGTGCCCAGCCCTGTTAACTTTTTATAATCTTGTCTTCTTACTCTATGCTTTCCATTCCATATGTTCTTTCCAACTCAAGTTTCTAAAAGAAACACAGAATAATGAAACCCCATCTCGACTAAAAATACAGAAATCATTTGAGGGTGGTGGTGTTCTCCTGTAGTCCTAGCTACTTGGGAGGCTGAGATGGGAGGATCACTTGAGCCTGGGAGGCGGAGGCTGCAGTGAGCTGAGATCGACCCACAGCACTCCAGCTTGGGTGATAGAGTGAGATCCTGCCTCAAAAGAAAAATAATAATAAATAAAATATAAAATAAAATGCAAACGGTTTGATTTTTATTTACAAGCTAGCCTAGAAGTTTGAAAAAGATAATATTTCCTGCTGTGTTTTCTCTTAGTCCTTCAGTGGAAAATAGGAAAAGTCCTGAAGCAAAAGTACCAAGGGGAACCTGGAGCACGTTGATGGTACCTGGGCAGAAGAGGACGGTGGGGGCGGCCTACGTGGAGTTCCTCCAGACTCGCAATCACTGTGCCTACACAAACATGCAGACAAGGCAATGGTGCCACAGCCTAGACCTCAGAACCCCTCTCTGCCATGCCAGAGGAGAAAGTGAGACCACTTCCTGCTATTAATATTAGGGACAAAAGGTGAGGAGGAGATGACAGTCGTAGGACCAGGGCTTCGAGAAAAAGCAGGACATGTCTGTCCCTAACACCGAGAACAGTATTTCCCATGGAAACAGTTTTAAAATGTAGTGTGCAGGAAAGACCTGAGGCCACAGGCTTGAGACGGCCCTCCTTAGGAAAGCCTGCTTGCAAGCGTGGCTGGGAACTTGGATTTGGGGAGAGTTCCCTCCCTTTTCATGGTCAGAGGGGCTCACGCTGCCTAGACTGGGCAAACGAGGTGGTTTATGCTGGACACTTTCTTATCTTCTGGGAGCGTAGAATTTTGGTATGTGCCAGGCAGAGGGTGCCCCCATGAGCAGTCCCCCAGTGAAAACCCCGAACTCCTGGGCTCAGGTGAGCTCCCCTGGCAGTGCTGTCCCAGCTATGTGCTGGAGGAATTGGAGGAATTAAGTGCATCCTGCAGGACTCCACGGGGAGAGGATTCCTGGGAGCGTGAGCCTGGTCTCCTCCCCTGTGCCTTTTCCCCCTGCGGACTGTGCTTTGTGTTCCTTGGCTAATACATCAGAGCAGTGATTCTCACCACATGCTGAGTCCTGTCCGTTCTAGCGACTCGTTGGACCTGGGGGTGGTCTTAGGAACCCCCAGCACATATACTGATTTGGCTGGTCCACAAAGAGAGCAAGAATTGCTTCTGAGGTGTGGCCCTACTGCAAAAGTTAGCATTTTTAGAAAACAATCATCACGTATAACATTATTTCTATGGGGGAAAATACATATTTTATGTTTTAAATAATCATTGTGCATGCAAACACTTTGAATGCAGTCGTTTAAAAATTGGGAATTGCATGGAGATGCCAAAAAGCCATCTGACCTTTCTGGATACTCAGGTGAGACACTCAGCAAACAGTTACGATTCCTGCCTTGCAGAAACTCATTTAAATTGTAGGCAACCAAGACGTGGTAGCGAACAAAAGTGCAATCCGCTGTGGACAGCTACTATTATATTAAGATGAATTCTAAAGGCTGTCCCAATTACTCTGCAGTGGAATTTTATTGAATCAACATTGCTTTAAATAAATAGGTCATCAACCTGGCTGTGACAACCTTTTCATTATACAGGAGATACCAGCACATAGGCCTTTTCTGATATATAATGGGCTTACATGTTTTTCTGAAATTTTATTCATAAGTAGGCTATTTGGAATTCAGACGATGTTTCTCCAATGAATCCTTTTCAAGTGCTTAAGAAAGGACACGGTGGCTTGTTTAACCCATGGAGTATCCAGCATTTGTTGCTAATAATTCTACAGTCGTGAATGAAGCTATCATCGGTAGCATTATTTCTGCACAAACGTTTTTTCCTAGAATTTTATACAGGACACTGGGAATTGTCTTTCAGAGACACAGAGCATTTTCATAAGAGAAGACACATTTCTAGGGCATGTTTTAGATGTTCGGAATTGGAGAAGGCATACTCACTCAAGAAGTATCCTTGTGTGTGCATATCAAGTAAAATGCATGCAATAAACCGGACAGTCATTCTTCCGAGATGTAGACACGGTATTTACTGAACACAGTGTGTGTTGGGTTAATAATTTTGAAGCACGAATCTCAGAGCTGTCAGTGGCACCATTTGGAACCATTCAAGTAGTTCCTAGAACACATGCCACGGGGCTCCACTGGGTCCAAACCGAATGCTGGTTTCTCCCGTTATGACAACTGAGTTACCTACATTCATTAATGGAAGTTTTATAACCTACTTGTGGTTCAATAAATACAGGTTACACTGACAGCCTCATTACACAGAGATAAACACAGCACTTGATTTCTGAAGATAATTTGCTGTAGATTTATTCTTAATAATATATCTATGCTGATGGGGGAAAGCCGTAATTTTCCCCATAGTATGCACATGCACTGTGACTGGGTATCCACAAAACCTGCCTGGGGTTAAGGGTATATTGTGTTTTTAAAACATAATAGAACTGCAGGGACTGTGTATATTTTATATACATATATATATAAATATATATGTAATGTGTATATACATATATGTATACATAATGTGGAATATGTATATATTATAAACACACACACGCACAGTTTCAAGTACAGCATCCAGGGTTCAGAAATGTGGTGCGCAGTCTGTCTCTTATACACATCTAGATGTGTATAAGAGACAGCATTTGGGTTGATTCCAAGTCTTTGCTATTGTGAATAGTGCTGCAATAAACATACGTGTACATGTGTCTTTATAACAGCATAATTTATAATCCTTTGGGTATATACCCAGTAATGGGATGGCTGGGTCATATGGTACATCTAGTTCTAGATCCTTGAGGAATCGCCTATAACTTCTAAAGTCTCTGTGCTCATGACCATCCCAGCCAAGGGAAAGAGGGAAGAGCAGTAGACCAGAGCCAAGGATTTCCTCTTAAGCGGATGAGGTGGGCATTGCATGCCCAAATTCACTCACCTTCCATTGCAAGGAGCCTAGTCTCATGGCACACAAGGCTGCAAAAGCAGCGAGTGCTGGGAAGTCAGTCTTTACCTGGACAGCCATATCCTCACTGTGGCCCTGTCACTATGGTGGAAAGAGAGATGGGTTTGGGTGGAGGATTTGCATCTCCCTTCACCACAACCACCAGGGGACTCCAACTGCTGGGAGGTGTCAGCCTCCTAAAGACTATAAATTTGAGTTCATTCTCCAAATCGCTGTATGCAGAGACTTAGGCTGAAGGCAACATTGCCCCAAAGAGAAACTCCCTACTTACGCAATCTTGTCAGTGGAAGTGTTCTTAATATGCAACCTGAATACAGGCATATTCATGTATGAATTTCACACTGGGGCTATTGAACTAATACAAATGTGTGCTATAAAGAATGCATAGGGACAGAAAGCAGATTGATGAGATAAAAGTGGAATAAAGGGGAATTTCAGTGTTTTGTTTGTTGGGAGATTTATTTAAGATTTGTGTGTGTGTGTGTGTGTGCGCGCGTTATTAAAAAAAAATGAAAGAGGAAGAGAGAGCAAAGAGAAAGGAAGGGGGATGGGGAGAGAAGTTTTGCTATATAGGGTTCAAAGCCCAAGAAGAGAAATTTGGATTGTGTGTAAGTCTCAGGCTATTTGTTCATAAGGAACATAGTCCTGTTAGAAACTATTACTGGCTAATCAGCTATCCGCAGGCTAATATTGGCCTTAATCAATAACTGACTGTAGAATTTCAGGGAATTGGAGGAAGGAAGACAGGAAGAGATCAAACTTCTGGACTGCTTCTCTCACTTCTGAAATGAAAGATTTGTCTACATGTTTCTCCCCCAGAGATTCATATTGCCACATAGTCTCTGAGTAGATCAAACCCTGGTAAAACCTGATATCTCCATTTTCGAGTCCCATATAGGCTCAATCTATGGAACAATACACAGTGTGCACCCACCAAAGGGTGCCACACACTTACGCATGTAGATTTAGTGATGGCATTCTTCCCAGTTAATTGATGGAAACGTGCCCTTTTGGGTCACAGTAGAGCTTTTTTGAATTGCTCCTTGTCTCCTTACTTATTTTCTCTCATTAATAGTGTCAAAGCATAAAATTAGCTTCATTTTTTATAGGTCGTAGCTGTATTAACATATTTTGAAATCATTCTTGGCTTCTAATTTCCGGTTGACCAGAAAAAAAAATTATGACAAAGCCACTTTCCACTAAATCTACATGTTGATATAGCACTTAACATTTTGCTTATATGATGAACCACTTCCATCCCCATCTGGACGTCTTGGCCCTGCCCTCACCAACAGTTACATGGA